TATATTTGGTTTAAATTTTGGGTTGGTTTTTTTTTTTTTTTTTTGTGCAGCGTTTCCTTCAGCAATTCACAGACCCCAACTCCAGAGAGGAGGAGAACGCTGGTCTGGATCTGAATGAGCCTCTTTATATGCAGAAACTGGATGAGGTGAGAAGTGCAGTACTGACTAGAAAGGCATAAACAATGATTGCACATGTTCAGTCATGCAGAATCCTTAATATCCAGTTCTTGTGTAATAATATTGCTGCTTTGTGTGTGTGTGTTTCAGATCAGTGTTGTTGGAGAACCGGTACTGAATGTGAACTGTAGTCATATTCAGACATTTGATGCTGATCTCTACCGTCAGCTGATCTGTTATCCACAGGTGAGAGTGACAAGCCTAGTAAAAAAAAAAAATAAACATCAAGAAGTTATTTTTGTTTTTAAATAATATAAACTTTTATTCAGTATAGTATTAAAAAAAAAATGTAAAGACGTTTATAATGTTACAAAAATTCTGTTCTTTCGAAATTTCTATTCATCAAAGATTTCTTAAAAAAAAAAAAATTCAGTTTTCAACATTGTGCATCAAATCAATGTGGCACTGAAGATGAGTAATGATGCTAAAAAAAATCAGCTTTGCATCACAGGAATAACACATTCAAATAAAAATTGTTTATTTTAAATTGATAATATTTCAGTTTTTACTGTATTTTTTAAAAAATCAAATAAATGCAGCCTCGTTGAGCTTTTTCTTTCAAAAACATAAACTTTATTGTATTGTCACTTTAACTTGTTATTGAAAGTCTTTCACCCTTCTCCTCGCAGGAAGTCATCCCCACTTTCGATATGGCCGTCAATGAGCTCTTCTTCGATCGGTTCCCAGACTCCATTTTGGAGCATCAGATTCAAGTGCGTCCCTACAGCGCCCTGAAAACCAGAAACATGCGTGCGCTCAACCCTGAAGGTAAGAGACCCAGTGCATCATGATCGCGCACTGTTTATTGAGAAATGTCTGCAGCCGTCACATTATCGTCTCTTTCAGATATTGACCAGCTCATCACTATCAGTGGGATGGTGATCCGCACCTCTCAGCTGATTCCTGAGATGCAGGAGGCGTTCTTCCGCTGTCAGGTGTGTGCGTTTAACACGCGTGTGGAGGTGGACCGCGGCCGCATCGCTGAACCTGCTGTCTGCCGCAACTGCAACACCACCCACAGCATGGCGCTGGTGCATAACCGCTCCGCCTTCTCTGACAAACAAATGGTGGGTTATATTTATTTTTTGTGCGTTATTATATTTGTTCTTTTTTAATATATTTTATTTATTTAAAAAAAATTAATTAAATTTGCATGGTTTTTGTAAAGAGATTTATTTAAATTTTTTTTGGGTTGCATTTGTTTACTAGTGCGCTCTACCCTAACAAAAAGTGAGATCTTTTTCTTTTCAATATCTTTTGTCCTGACAGATAAAGCTCCAGGAATCTCCAGAGGATATGCCTGCGGGTCAGACGCCACACACCACTGTCGTCTATGCACACAATGACCTAGTTGACAAAGTGCAACCTGGAGACAGAGTAAACATCACTGGTACGACCTGTTGTCATTGAAGCTTTGTTATGTGGTTTTATATAATGGCTAATCCTGTTTGGTCCTTCCTCTTTCTTTACTTTATGAACAATGCCTGTATTGTAGCTTCCTCAAAGTTATGGAGCAGGGATAGTTTAACAGACTTTCAGAAACATTAAATATTGGAGTGTTTTGATGTTATTGTACTTGAATTCTTTTAATAAAGAGTACTTTTCTGTAGAGAAACTCCTAACTGAAAACCGTTTATTACATCAACTTAAAAATTAATGTTCAGATTTCATAACATTTGTGTTTTTCTATTATAAATAATAGAATATTATAAGATTATTTTAAATAATGTTTGTTGTTGTTGTTGAGCCAGGTGAAGTCTGTGTACAAGACCCACATCGACGTCATCCACTTCCGGAAGACGGATGAGAAGCGTCTTCACGGACTGGATGAGGACGGCGAGCAGAAACTCTTCACCAAAGAACGGGTTGCAATGCTCAAAGAACTAGCGGCCAAACCGGACGTCTATGATCGCTTGTCCTCCGCGCTGGCGCCCAGCATCTATGAACACGAGGACATCAAGAAAGTGAGTTTTAATTGGTGCTGCTTAAGACGGCCTCGTGTTTTTCCTTCGAACAGATGCAATTCAAATGTTTCTCAGGATGTGAGTTAATAGTAGGCTTTTTTTCCCCAGGGCATCCTGCTGCAGTTATTTGGCGGGACCCGTAAGGATTTCACTCAGACGGGCCGTGGAAACTTCCGCGCAGAGATCAACATCCTGCTTTGTGGTGATCCGGGTACCAGTAAATCCCAGCTGCTGCAATACGTGTATAACCTGGTTCCTCGTGGGCAGTACACGTCTGGGAAAGGATCCAGTGCTGTGGGTCTCACAGCCTACGTGATGAAGGACCCGGAAACCCGACAGCTGGTTCTGCAGACGGGAGCGCTCGTGCTCAGCGACAACGGCATCTGCTGCATCGACGAGTTCGATAAGATGAGCGACAGCACGCGGTCTGTGCTGCATGAGGTCATGGAGCAGCAAACGCTCTCTATTGCTAAGGTGAGAGTGATGCGTGAATGATCACTGTGACGATTGATTATCACGACAGGTAATTAATGCAGTTTTTGTGTGTCATAGGCTGGAATCATTTGCCAGCTTAATGCTCGGACCTCCGTTCTCGCTGCAGCCAATCCGGTGGAGTCTCAGTGGAACCCCAAGAAGACCACTATAGAAAACATCCAGCTGCCTCACACGCTTCTGTCCAGGTAAGAACACAACATGACACAGGATTTACAACACACTTAACATCCATAATGTGATGTATTTTTGAGAGAAACTGAATTTTGAGTGGATAATTTCCACGAGAACGATTTATCCATCAGGATTATAGTTGATTGTAAAAAGTGAGCTACACTACTCTTCAAAAGTGTATTATAGTTAACTTAAACCGTAAGAAAACATTTTTGTTACTTAAAATAAATGGTAACTGAAATAAATAAACACTTGCCAAGCTAGTTGCAAAAACACAACTTCTCATGTAATTTAGTGAACTTTAATATAGTAAAAAATAAATAAAATATTGACATTATTTAAAAGCATAAGTGACAAACACCACAAAATTACTAAAACTTTAAAATTGAAATGAAATGTGTGTGTGTGTATATATATATATACATTATAAATGTCTTTTACTGTCACTTTTGATCAATTGAATCCAATTTATTTTGTAGCGTTCGCAGTAAAGTCCTCTCGGAAGAGAAAATGTACTATTTAAAAAAACATTTTTTTTACAATTGGCGAATTGTACAAGTAACCCTAGAGACATTTATTATAGATGGTAAATGGCATAAATTTTGACTTTAATGATCTCAATCTGTTTTAAATGTTAACATCCAAATGTTAAAATACTTTATTATAGCTTTTTTTGTTGAACATTTCTCTTTATTATTAGTCAACTAATAAAATCTTTGGTTCTTAGGTTTGATTTGATCTTCCTGATGCTGGACCCTCAGGATGAGGCGTATGACCGGCGTCTCGCGCATCACCTCGTGGCTCTGTATTATCAGAGTGAAGAGCAGATTGAAGAGGAGCATCTGGATATGGCTGTGTTGAAAGACTACATCGCTTTCGCTCGCACGTCTGTGCATCCCAGACTCAGTGAGGAAGCTAGTCAGGCCCTTATTGAGGTATAGAAACAATATAGATCAATGTACCTGTAGTACTGTAGTATGATATATATAATGCATGTTGACGATATTAAATGAATTGTAATTTTGACCCTTGCAGGCCTATGTAGATATGCGTAAGATCGGCAGCGGCAGAGGGATGGTGTCTGCGTACCCCCGTCAGCTGGAGTCTCTCATCAGACTGGCTGAAGCTCACGCTAAAGTACGTTTCTCAAGCAAAGTCGAGTCCATCGATGTGGAGGAAGCCAAGAGACTGCACAGAGAAGCCCTGAAACAGTCCGCAACTGATCCCAGGACAGGCTTCGTGGATATCTCCATCCTCACCACAGGTAGAGTTTAGAGTAGTGCTGTCAAGCAATTAATCGCATCCAAAATAAAGGTTTTTGTTTACATAATGTGTGTGTACTGTGTATATTTATTATGTGTATATATAAATACACACACAGTATATATTTTGAAAATATTTACATGTGTATATATATTTATTATAAATATATAAACATGCATGTGTTTGTATTTTTATATATATATATATATATATATCCTATGTAGATATGCGTAAGATCGGCAGCGGCAGAGGGATGGTGTCTGCGTACCCCCGTCAGCTGGAGTCTCTCATCAGACTGGCTGAAGCTCACGCTAAAGTACGTTTCTCAAGCAAAGTCGAGTCCATCGATGTGGAGGAAGCCAAGAGACTGCACAGAGAAGCCCTGAAACAGTCCGCAACTGATCCCAGGACAGGCTTCGTGGATATCTCCATCCTCACCACAGGTAGAGTTTAGAGTAGTGCTGTCAAGCAATTAATCGCATCCAAAATAAAGGTTTTTGTTTACATAATGTGTGTGTACTGTGTATATTTATTATGTGTATATATAAATACACACACAGTATATATTTTGAAAATATTTACATGTGTATATATATTATAAATATATAAACATGCATGTGTTTGTATTTTTATATATATATATATATACGTATGTGTGTGTACTGTGTATATTTATTATGTAAGGGAAAAACTTTTATTTTGCATGCGATTTAATCGTTTGACAGCACTAGTTCAGAGATGTAGTAATAAACTTAGTACTGGCCAGGTCGAGTCACATGGTCTTGTTTATAACTGGAAAGAAAGGTATTAATGTTAAATTATTAAGATTACTAATAAATGTGACCCTGGACCACAAAACCAGTCTTAGAGGGTTAGTTCACCCTGTCATTAATTACTCGCCCTCGTGTTGTTCCAAACCCGTAAGACCTCCGTTCATCTTCAGAACACAAATTAAGATATTTTTGATGAAATCTGAGGGCTCTCTGACCCTCCCATAGACAGCAAGGTAACTACCACGTTCAAAGTCCAGAGAAGTACCAAGATGGTTGACAAAGTAGTCCGTGTGACATCAGTGGTTCAACTGTAAAGTTACGAAGCTATGAGAACACTTTTTTTGCGCAAGAAAACAAAAATAACGACTTTATTCCACATTTTCATCTCTGTGTCACTTCTGGATGCGCGTTCACGACAGTACCGTGATGCGAGCGTGTGGCGGTGTTTTCTTTGCACAGGCATTTCATCAATTATCCTTAACTAGTAACTGTTAATGTTGTATGCAGATTTGCTGTCATGGTTTTAATTGGTTGTTTCTGTAAAGATATGAATGCTTGTGCAGACCACTGCTATGTCTCAATAAAAGAACAATTTAAAATATTTTTAATTAATAAAGTAGGAATAAATCAATGTAATTAAAGTTTCCCAACTTATCCCTTTATTATGCCTTGACTAGTACCTGTGGATGTTATATGCAACTTGAAGAGAGTCTGCTGGTTTTGATTGGTTGTTTCTGGACAGGGATGAGTGCTACAGCACGCAAGCGTAAGGAGGAAGTGGCTCAGGCTCTGAAGAAACTCATCCAATCAAAGGGCAAAACACCAGCTATGAAGTACCAGCAGCTGTTTGATGATCTTCGTGGCCAGTCAGAAGCGGTATGCCTTCCTGTAATTATTTTAATAATGCATAGACACACACTATATATGCAAGCCTGAAGCCCAAGGAAAATCTTAACTTAAACATTTTCCTCCCATTTCAGGCCATCACAAAGGACATGTTCGAAGAGGCTCTCAGAGCACTTGCTGATGAAGATTATCTGACCGTCACTGGAAAGACTGTTCGGCTTCTGTGAACGCGCGCTGCGCCTGACTGCTGCTTCCTCCCTTTTGTTACTTGCTTTATCCTATTCTCTGTTTCTATAGAGCAATTATTGTTAATAGTGATATGTATGGACAATTTCTGGCTGCAATAAATGCATTTTGTTGTTCAAGAGAAGACTTTGGTGGTTTATAGCTGTTATTTACATAATCAAATGTGGAAAGCATCTATTCACTGAACCGAATCAATCACATGGTGCTGGTTAAAACCTCAAAGAATCTTCAACAAGGTGCAAGAACAACAATACAAACCCAAATGGGACAAATGGATATAAAAACACAAGATGGCAATGTATTCTCACACAGGAACTAGAGCTTCTGATTTATTATAAATGGAATAATTACACAATGGGAAAGAAAACAGAATAGGAGAGAAAATGGAAAACTTTTTTTATGTAATGTCATTTTAGGAATGTCGACTGAGAAACCCTAGTAAACCCACTTGCATTCAGTGCTCTCTGATGTCTGTTTTCTCACGGAAAAAGTCCCTTATTGAAGGATAATGTCATAAATGTAAGTATATTACAGAGGGCTGAAAAGCGAAATTGAGGACAAATATATAAAATTACCAATTAAAACAATATTTTAACTGCATCACCTGAAAACATGACAACATCCTCAAGGTGTACTAGTGGAACGATATAATTTAACACGTCCTTAAATGTGATATTGTAAAAAAAACAACAACAAAAACGTATTGTCAAGCTCAAGTGTAACATTATATATGAATAATTTTGCAGTGGAGCCACGCCCCTCCCTCGCTTCCTACAGCACGGGCATTAGTCACATGACGCGTGACGTCACGCTTTCGTACGCTTTTGGATTCGTGCAGAAGAAGATGGCGGCCTCCTCAGGTTTGTCTCACAATCTCCTCAATCCTCGCGGTCCTCCGCGGCCGTAATTTAACAACAGAAGCGCTGAGCCCGTGCCTCACGACCCGATAAAGATTATCCGACAGGTTTACCGTTATCAAACTCTTTAATTTACTTCACCTAACAGATCTGTGTGCAGTTTGAACTGTGTGTGTGTGTTAGCATCGAGCTAACGGCCCTCAGATAGACCTTTAGTTTAAAAATAACATATTTATTTTGTATTATCAGCTAATCAATATTATAGACGCGCTTCAGATATAATTATGGACTTCTATAGTAGTAAGGCATAGATTAAATGCTGTATATTGCAGTTGGGCGGGTGTATCGGTGCAAATATGAGGCGAGGCGGAGCATCGACGCGCGTGCTGCTGCTGGATCCGTCCAGTGTCATGACAAACGGGCCTTTAACTGCTGTTTGTCTGTCATAACGGCACCTGAGCAGGCTATTACTCCCTCATAGAGTCATTGAAACTATTTAAAGATAAGTCTTTGGAGAAGTGCGTTGTGATTGTGTAATATAGATGTATAGTTGCATAACAACACTCATTTAAGTGCAAAGCCATTTCTTAACAGAATACATAACGTTTAGAGTGTTGATTTATACATATACACTAAAAGAGACTTTTTCAATTTTTAGTTGTTTAATTAATTGTTTAATGCAATTTACTGCAGTGTAAGATCATGTAGCCTATGTTCAGATCAAATAACATTTAGAGTTTATAGGCTGCATATGTACAGAACAGCTCATCTTGTGTTTTTAACATGTTAAAACTCACAGATCATTACATTTGCACAGGCTAATTTGGACATTTGCTTATCTAGAATCAGATATATGAAATTTAGGAGTGTGTGTGTTTGCATATTCTCTTAAATGTTTACGTAAGGTCAGATGCATCAGCCGATATTTTATCAGACAGAAATATATTGAGTTGTTCAGGCACGATTGTGTATGTCGTGTTCGTCTTGAGATTTTGAGGAAGTGAGAAACACTGATAGAGCAACATGGGTGTCATTTCCTGAATCATTCACAAATGAGTGATCAGTCTTTCCTTCAGACGCTCACCTGAACTTGCGAATCTTGTCCCTCCACTTTTTCAACACTGGAGCATCTATGAAAACACTAGGTGATACTCAGTGTAGAAATGCACAGATTACTAACGTTTCACATTTGAAACCGCACAGATTTTGTGTGTTTAAATCTTACAGGTTCCTACATTCTCATTTTTGTCTTGGTTGAGTATTTAAATTAAATTACTCATTTAAATTGTACGTTAAATAAGAGTTTTTTCACATTTGCAATAAAGAGAAGCTTTTGTTGGTTTCATATGAGATAACGTTTAAAATAAGCATTTAAATTGTACCATCCACATCCACAAAAAAGGAAACAGATGTTAGTTTCATGTTAAATGAAGTACGCAACTCTGAAATGTTTGTGATCATATATACAAACTCGTTCTTTGTGAAATATTAAATATGAATTCCCTGAATGATGTAGAATGAACCCATGAAAACCTTTTACATAAATTGAATCCTAAATACATAAGTAAATATATATATTTTAGGTTTCCCATTCGTTTTTAATCAACTTTTATTCCTTTTGCTGTTCACTTATGTAGTCTTGTGGTGTGACAAATACATTTTTAAGAATATAAATATTCCATGAAGTCACTCAATTAGTATGAACTCATAAAAACTGCATGTATAATAATTATACAAGAGTCTTGAAAAATGATTATGCTTCATCTTAAATAATTTCCAACATGTCAAACTAACCAGCCGCAAACAAAGGTTTACAGAAACATGTTCAGGAGTTGTTTTTGGATTCTTGCAGGAGTTAAAGTCCCTCGTAATTTTCGTTTGTTGGAAGAGCTTGAGGAAGGACAGAAGGGTGTCGGTGATGGGACGGTGAGCTGGGGTCTGGAGGATGACGAGGATATGACTCTCACACGGTGGACAGGCATGATCATCGGACCTGCACGAGTATGTTTGCTGTTTATTCAGTTTAATGTAGCAGTTAAGTGACAACACTGATGACTCATCTGAAGAAAGTATCACATTAACGTGTTAAGAAATCAAGATTTTGTTGTTGCATTTCAGCTATTTTGATAGCGTGACTGGAAGCCTTGGGCACCAGTAAACAACATGCCTTCATCATGCCATCCAGCGTGACGCATGACCGCTGGTGGTGTAGATTAAAGATAAAGGTGCATGCTATGAAAGCAATAATGCAGCAGAAATGTCCTTCAGTGATTTATGTATTTGTTCAAGTTGGCAACTGATTCTTTATTGGTCTGGAAATATGAATCACTCAAAGGTCTTTAGGATAGATTTGCTTAATGGGTAAACTGAAACCTGCCATGAAACCTAGGTCATATTTCACCCCCAGAATGATTGAAATTATGTTTTGCATAAAGATAATGAAGCCTATTTTTATGAGCGTTTGCAATGAACTCATTGTCATGACAATTAAGCCCTTTCATTATGAATTTAATTATTACTGTTTGTAATAAAACAGAAGGCAGGATGAGAATGAGATTTTTTTTTTTTTTCACACTGCAGTAAATTTTGGGTGCAACAAAATTCTGAATTGGTACGAATATGCAAATAATATGAATGGTCCTAAAATGTACTTACTTTTTAATGTAAATGATTAACTTTCTTATTTTGAATTCAGGGTGAAAAATGACCTTTACATTTTTTCTTAGTAAGAATCTCCATAATAATAGTGCTGTTCTACAGGCGAAGTAAGATAATTCTACCTTTTAGTTTGTTTGTTTTTCAGGGAGCTTTTAACCTAGTAATTTGCTAAATAGAAGTGGTTCTTTAGCATTCAAAATATTCAGCTAGCCTGAAATTACAAGATAAGTGTGTATAGATAATATTAGTGAATTCCTTTCTCTTTTACCTGTCATCATTTAAAGAAAAAAGTGCAGGGTTTTTGCAGGTCTTAATTTGCCCTTCCATAAATTAAGGCCTTAAAAAGGTCTTAATTTTGAGGTGAAAGGCATAAATTCATACATTTCTAGCATTTAATGTTGCATTCGCTGCAAAAATACAAATATAATAGAAATATCTAAATATCCTTAAATCGTCTTGCATTTGCTTGAGATGCAAAATAATATGAAGTCTTGTTTTCTGAGAAATTGAACAAAAATAATGTCGAAGGAGCCAGTCTTAAAACTTATTTTTATACTCTGGCATTTAACTCCGTATGAGAGCTGTTTTATGTATTTTGTTAGTGTTAATATCTGCTGTGTGTAAAATTGTTTTATTTTGATTATGCTTGTACAGCACTTTGGTGAACAATTGTTGTTTTAAAAAAGTGCTCTATAAATAAACTTTGATTTGATTTAGAGCATAAAAACTTGTTTTCATTTTGCGTTTATGAGTCCATTGGCTGATATTAGTTCTTGTTTTATTCAAATTCACTTCATTTTGATCTTGTTTCTCAGAAAATGACTTCTTATCTTAAGGCATATTGCTTTGCTTCTTGAGACAATGTTTTTTGATTTAAGAAACTTTAGATATTTGTAATCGAAAACAACATACTGAGAGCTACTGAGGAAGAATATCACATTTTTGCAGGTGCAGTAAAAATTATGGTTATTTCCATATTTTAGTTGTTGGGAACAGAGGTATTCAAGCCTTAAGCTATTAGTTTCTAAAATGAATTCAAAAGTAATGGAGATCTGTTGGAAGTTATATTTTTAAACTTTCTCATTTTGTGCTCCCAAGACATTTGCATTTTGAGAATATATTGACGTATTTTGTTCCAGTTCAATTTATTCTGTACATTTTCTTTACTTGGTCTTAAAAAGGTCTTAAAACATCTCAAATGTACCATCATAAAACTCTGAGTTAAGTGTGATGCTGTGTTTCCATCTGTAGTCTATTATTGTGTGCTGTTATCGTATAGAATACTAAGGATGAAAATATTGTATCAGCATGTGAGGTGTGATGTTTTTTTTTTAAGATGTGTGGGTCTGTTCTCTTTGATGAATTGATGTGTTCATTATCCTCTCACTTTCATGTTCCACTTGGCATTTCGGCTTTAACCTTTGACTTTTTCCTCATTTCTCAGACTAATTACGAAAACAGGATATACAGCCTGAAAGTGGAGTGCGGACCTAAATATCCCGAAGTACCACCGACTGTTAGATTTGTAACAAAAATTAGCATGAATGGAATAAATAATTCCAATGGGATGGTAAGTTGAATCATCTTTATAAATGACTATTTTGATTGTTAT